CTAAAACAATATGACAATGCATTGATTAATCTTAACAGAGCATTGGAGATTGAACCAAATAACACACATGCACTGAGTATAAGGGGAGTTGCCTATCTAGATCTAAAACAATATGACAATGCATTGATTAATCTTAACAGAGCATTGGAGATTGAACCAAATAACACACTTGCATTAAAGTGTTATGAAATAGTATCCAATGTGACAAGAAATACATTACATCCAAACATTAGATATTAATCCAAAATGTAAATTTTAAATTGTTAAAAACACATCAAGTTTATTATTAAATAAGTTGAGGTGATGCTATGATTCAGGAGTAAAACAATGCATAAGGGGAAGCTCATAAATATGCCATTTTAATTAACTTATTTTTAAACCTACAACAAATTCAATTTTTTTATTTGAATTTTTTTCCCGCGTTTTCAGTTGATTAGCTGGTTTAGACAATATCAGCCCAACCATTATCTTATAATTTGGTTAACGTTATTATTATGCTTTTACTGCCATCCATCCCAGCCTCGTGTGATTCTCCGAAACTTCATCGGATTCATTGGTTTGTTATATTAAAATTTGTTAATGAGCTGATGGAGCTTGTCATAAATAGTTTAGTGATCGGCACGATATACCATAACTACTTTAGAATAGAATAGAGTAGACTAGAATAGAATAGCATTTCATTTCAACTGAAGCAGAAGCAGAAGCAGAGCGATACGGTTGTCATACGCAACAGACTAAGCGTTTTTTCCACACCTTTGACACACAGACTAAGACTTTCCCCCAAGTGTTTGTTGTCCTATTCGACGCATAAAGAATTAGCCTTTCAATTTGTTTGTGGCAGCCGAAAGCGTAAAAAGGTAAAAAATGACGTATGTTACAATACCAAACTTTGGCGCGAAGTTCGACTATATTAAAAAACATGTCACAATGCTGTCATTTCATATTGCATACAACTTACGAAGTGCCTATAAGCCAAAATGCATTATTATATCATATGCCCGTATTTGTTTAACATGAAACTAAAGTTGAACTTAGAATGTAATTACTGTTTCCCTTTAAAGCAAAACATTAATTTATCTTCATTCAACAATCTTAGTTATACAGTATCTAACGAAGTTAAACTCATTTGCATATCGTCGTCATTCCAACGACACCTGATTAAAATATTACGCAATGCCGAATAAACGGAAAACAAACCCTTTGTTTTTGGCAAAGAAAAATGCATTTACAACGTCACATATTTGCTTTATTTCTTTTTAATTAAACAAAAAAAAAAGCTACGTATATATTTAGTGACGACATCTATTTATCACTTTATCCCTACATTCACAAACAAGAAAAGATATAAAACAAGAAACCAGTTCAAATCTTGTCTATATTTTCCTCGCTTTTATTAATTAAAATTATTTTGCAAAAAATTTTCTACAATGCCTGCCTCCATTTCCGTAATCGCGTATATTGCTCAACATACAATAGAATCAATAATGAATACACGATACAAAAAGGTCTCGCTTACTGTCGCTTATTATTATTTGAAAATCATATACTAATACAAGCAATACGATTTACTTTGTACAACAAGAAGAAGTGGAAGAATCTGAAAAAAGCGATTCTTCAATCGGTAATACTTACTACATGGAAAGTTTACCTACTTAATCAACGAAGATTCCTGCCTATCACGATATCCGATTGTCCTGCGTCACCCTTAATTCCACGACTTATTGGCAAAACCATTAGTTCCCCTTCCGTAACAACAATGGGCGTTTTTGCATACGAGTATGTGTAACAGAATATCTCAGAAAAGGCGAAAGACCAATCCATCCAATGGAGACTGGCAAAATCTATAATAGCGTCACAAAAAAATGCCACCGTCCAGTTCACAGGCATTCTAACAATTCCTGAAAAAAGCCTATATTGTGATGCTCTCGACTTTTCTTTCATAGGAACAAAATTTGGTGACAATAATATAATTAACAATCCTTGGTCAGCAACCGTTAAAACCGAGGTACGAAATCACCAGCCAGCCGAAGAGAAACAAAAACATTGTTTTGCCCTACAATAACGAATAGTAAAAAAACGACAATACACGAGGTATCTCCGGCAAAGATGTCATCAACAATAATCGTGGATGAGACAACAGATAGTACTAATGATGACAACACTAATGATGACAACAACAGTCAACCCAAAAAGGCGTCGAAAAAAATAGTTTGTTTCTTTGTTAGTATATATGTTATTTTACCGTTTAAAAAAGTAAAACTTGAAGTATACGCCGTTTTCACGAACAATAGTATTGTTATATATATATATATATATTTAAGACAAAAAAAAATGAAATATGACAGAGCTGCTTTCTGAAGAAACTGCCTTCCGATGAATTAATCAATTATTTAAACTCAAAACAAACCTACCACCATCGGTCCGTATCCAACAAGGAGCTCGGGTAATGTATTTAAACAACTCTCTAATAGGAAAAGGTATTTGTAATGGCACTATCGGAATCATTACTGATTTCGATAAAGATACTATCTGTTCAGGTGATGAATTGCAATAATCCATTGTTGGTACCAAAGCACACTTCCTACTTCTACGCATCAGGACAGAAAGCATCGCGTACCCAATTTTCTTACAAAACTCATTCGCTTTAACAATACATAATACTCAAGGTCTCACACTACAAAATACCACTGTATCATTGAACGACATATTTTCTCTAGGCCAAGCATACGTTGCATGACGGTCTCAAAATAAGCGCGCTACACAAAACTGCTTTCACAACAGACCCTAATGTAATTAAAGAATACGAAAGACTTCAACGTATTGCAGAAGAAACACAACCTTTGATAAATATTATGCCTTCTTACACTAGTTACTCAAAATTGTGGATAACTTGTGACTTGTAATATTACAATTTACTAAAGCTTACACGATCTTATGTATGGTTGGGTTAATAAAAATCCGAAGATTCTATCTGCAAATAAAATAAATGATGCACGGCATTAATTTCGGAAGTTGCACTTAATTGCATTCTAATAGTACCCTCACTAACACAAGCAAACGTGCGAACAAAGCAAGTATAATCGACTCATTCACAAGGAAATAAACAAATCGAAGATATCGACCCTTGTTAATTTACTAGCCGTTGTTTTACATAGCAGACGACTTTTGCTTAACCCAACTTTGTCAACTTGTTAAGCGTTCGAAACCCAAAATAATAGCCGACGGATGATGACTTAAGTTACACCCGATAGTGTAATTGACGCGAGTACTACTGCTTTAAATCAATATGATTTGATTGGCCAGCACGCATCTAATCAAAAATATTAATCACGTCGATAAATGGGGCACACCAAAAATGCTTGTTCTCCCAGGAACATCGGCTCTTTCGCCATTTAAAACGAAGGCACTTTTGAAGAGCGTCCAACAACATGTTCCTGAAATACAGGCAATCATTGCGATATTTGTTCATTTTATCCAGCCAAGGAATGAATCATCTCAATTGCTTTTATCCGATGTAACGTCTAATGAACGCAACATTCTCGATAATTTACTCAAATATGGATCAAAATCGAATACAAGTTCTGGGGCGTTCTCTCAAATTTTCGACAATTTAAGCGATATAGGGAGTTTAGAATCAAATAAACTCGTGTTAATAGTTCCGCGTCCTGGGACAATATCTCCATGGAGTTCCAAAGCAACTAATATTGCTCACGTGTGTAATCTAGAACCACACGTAGAACGCATTGAGCGTGGAACAGCATATCTATTTGAGATGGCTGCGACAACCTCATCTTCTTTATTTCAACAGAAATTTCCCCTATTCTCGCATCTGCTCTATGACAGAATGACTCAAATACCTCTCTTTGACGTTCCAGACAAAGAGATCCTGTTCAGACATGGGATCCCAGCGCCATTGAAAACTGTTCCTTTATTCATCGGTAACGAAGAGAACGTGGACATTCTGTCAGCCAAAGAAAAGTTAGCCAAGGGTAACAAAGAATTAGGACTTGCACTGGCTGATGACGAAATAGACTATTTAGTGGCTGCGTTCGTTAATGACAGTGAGCTAAGAAGAAATCCAACTGATGTGGAATTGTTCATGTTTGCACAGGTCAACTCGGAGCATTGTCGTCACAAAATATTTGGAGCAGAATGGATCATTGATGGAATAGAAAAAAAGTCATCCTTGTTCGATATGATAAAAAATACTCACAAGTTACACCCACAGAGAACGATCTCGGCGTATTCTGACAACGCAGCCGTAGTGCAGGGGTTTAAGGCAACACTATTCACGCCCGACAATTCTTCTAACTGGACTTATACGCTTATGCCAGAAGATGTCCATATCGTGATGAAGGTTGAAACCCACAATCACCCAACAGCAGTCTCGCCATTTCCAGGTGCGGCCACTGGATCAGGAGGAGAAATTAGAGATGAGGGATCCGTTGGACAGGGATCAAAACCTAAAGCAGGACTATGTGGATTCAGCGTGAGCAACTTGTTGATACCCGGACATACTCGACCATGGGAGACTGATTTTGGAAAGCCTGCACATGTTGCGTCTGCGTTGGACATTATGATAGATGGGCCGATTGGAAGTGCAGCGTTTAATAACGAATTTGGGAGGCCAGCTATAGTTGGATATTTCCGGAGTTATGCAGAAAATGTAAGCAAACTGAGTGTCGGAAAGGGGGAAACGAGCAATAACGTGAGTAACGTGGATGCTGATAATGATAAAAAAGTCATCAGAGGATATCATAAACCGATAATGATTGCTGGAGGAGTGGGTACTATTCGACCCATGCACGTATACAAAAAATCCATTTCTCCTGGTGCACATATTTATGTCATCGGCGGACCATCCATGTTAATCGGTCTTGGAGGCGGGGCCGCGTCATCAATGGCAAGCGGAGCTAGCTCTGTGCACCTAGATTTTGCATCTGTGCAGCGAGATAACGCAGAAATGCAGCGGAGATGTCAACAAGTAATTGATACTTGCACTGCACTAGGTGATAACAATCCCATTCAGTCCATTCATGATGTAGGAGCAGGTGGATTATCCAACGCAATACCCGAGTTGGTTCATGATAGTAAATTAGGATGCCGCATTAGATTACGTGATATCCCCAATGATGATTCGGGTATGTCCCCGATGGAGATATGGTGCAACGAGTCACAGGAGAGATACGTCGTTGCAGTCTCTGACGAATATGTTGCGTTGTTTGCGAATATATGTAAGAGAGAAAGATGTTTGTATGCTGATATTGGAGTGGCTACGGAAGAACGAAAACTGGTCTTGGTAGATTCATTGTTGAATAATACTCCAATTGATTTGTCGATGGACGTACTGTTCGGTAACCCGCCTAGAATGACAAGGAATACTAGCATGATTAAGCCATCATACGTTGAATTTGACACGTCGCTGAGAACGTATTTGGTTGGTCTTACTGATACGCAACTGATTCTTGACGATGTTGTTGACCGTTTATTGAGATTGCCTACAGTTGGATCTAAAGCTTTCTTAATCACCATTGGAGATCGTAGTGTGACTGGGTTAGTAGTGCGTGATCAAATGGTAGGACCATGGCAGGTACCAGTGTCAGATGTGGCCGTGACAAAGTCATCATATGGAATGGATGTAATTACAGGCGAAGCAATGTCAATGGGCGAACGTAGTCCAATTGCATTAATATCTCCGGCTGCATCCGCACGTATGGCAGTCGGTGAAGCCATTACCAATATTGCAGCAGCGAAGATAAGCGAGATATCTCATATAAAATTGAGTGCTAATTGGATGTGTGCAGCTAATCATGATGGAGAGGGTGCTGGATTGTATGCAGCAGTAGAGGCAATCGGAATGGGGTTGTGTCCTGATTTGGGGATTAGTATACCTGTCGGAAAGGATTCCATGTCGATGAAGATGAGATGGGTTGATAACGCTAATGTTCCTAGTCAGAGTACTGTCGTCGAGGTGGTCGCTCCGTTGAGTTTAAATATTACAGCCGTTGCTCCAGTTATTGACATTCACAAGACATTGACCCCCCAACTTAGATCCATTGATAATACTCTGTTGGTGTTATTAGATATCGCGTGTGGTAGACAGCGGATGGGTGGATCTGTTATTGCTCAAGTGTATAATCAAATTGGCAACGAGGCTCCAGATGTGGACGAGCCGCGCGTGCTGAAATCGGCATTCAACGGTATACAGATGCTGCGCGATCAGACACAGACTCATACAAACAATATAATTCTCGCGTCTCATGATAGATCAGATGGCGGATTATTTACTACTATTGTCGAAATGGCGTTTGCTGGCCATGTTGGTGTCAACGTAGATATCCAATCAATAACATACAATGGAGATATAATCAGGGCTTTATTCAACGAGGAGTTGGGCATTGTAATACAGATAAGAGAGAATGACTGGGGTAAAGTAGTCGATAATTTGACAAAGAATGGATATCCTAAAGAGCATATACATCGCATCGGAAGTGTCAATGTCACTACGCAGAATATCACATTCGCAAATAGAGATGTTGTATTATACACATCTTCCAGAGCCCAATTACAGCGCATATGGGCAGAAACATCTTTTCTGATGCAAGCCATTAGAGACAATGCCCAATGCGCTCAGGAAGAATACGATTCCCTTCTCGATAACGATAATCCAGGCATTCAATATCATCTAACATTTGATCCTAAAGACGACATTACCCTCCCACTTATCGTATCACCCTCCTCGCGTAAACCACAAGTAGCAATTCTCAGGGAACAGGGTGTGAATGGTCATTTGGAGATGGCACATGCATTTTACGTATCGGGCTTTACGGCAGTGGATGTCCATATGTCAGACATTCTCAATGGAAAAGTATCTTTGAATGACTTCCACGGCATAGCTGCATGTGGTGGCTTCTCGTACGGAGACGTATTAGGTGCCGGAAGTGGTTGGGCTAAAAGTATTCTATTACATTCGAATGCGCGGAACGAGTTTTCTAAATTCTTTAGTAGAGATGATACGTTTGGATTAGGAGTATGTAACGGATGTCAGTTTATGAGCCAACTAAAAGAATTGATACCTGGTGCAGAAGATTGGCCCGAATTTAAGAGGAATAAGAGTGAGCAATATGAAGCAAGATTTACAATGGTCGAAATATGTTCGCCAGAGACGAAGGCTTCGAACACTAGCACTAGTAAGAGTACACAAACACTACCATCTATATTCTTTGCTGGAATGTATTCCTCCCGTCTCCCAATTTCAGTCGCACATGGTGAAGGAAGAGCAGAATTCTCTTCACCCGCCCAACTTGACCGTCTTCGTTCTAACAATCTCATCTCCCTACATTTTGTCGACAATTACGGAAATCCAACCGAGCAATATCCATTCAATCCTAATGGGAGTCCACACGGAATTACTGGCGTTCAGACGCCAAATGGAAGATTCCTTGCAATGATGCCTCATCCAGAGAGAGTACTGATGAAGGAAAATAATTCATGGTATCCGCGTGATGTGAATTGGGATGAATTTGGGCCCTGGGTGAGAATGTTTAGAAATGCGAGAGTTTGGGTTGGATAGGGAGTGTTATAAGCTGGCGAGTGTGCGCGACTATAGAGATTAAGGCTGGGTCGATAGAGTGTTATAAGTTGGCAAGTGTGTGTGATTATATAGAGATCAAGGCTGGGATGTAGTAGCGAGTAAGGAGATGATAATATTGAAAATCGTGTTATGGACCAACGGTTCATAAATGGTACACGTCCACGTAATAAAATTTTGAATAATCATTTTGTTTTTGTTTTTAGTGCCAGCAATTATCATTCACACTGCATTACACTATTTTCGTGCCTTCTAAACCTTCATACCCTTTTATCTAAAACTATCTTTCATCTCCCTCAACATGCCCATGACCTCTACTGGATTACTTTTCCCGGTAGCTTTTTTAATTGCCTCTTCATGGACTCTCATGAACGGATTGAATTTTAATTCGTCTCCGATTGTGCTTGGAACCGTGTACTGTTGGTTTGAGACGATGCTCACTTTGTCCTTGAGCATCTGATTGTCAGGGTCGACTGAGGCAGCAAACTTGAGATTACTAGCAGTGTATTCATGGCCACAGTACACCTTGGTGCTTGGAGGCAGCGAGGCCAGCGTGTTGATTAAGGAATTATACACATCGGCGGCGGTACCTTCAAAGAATCTACCGCACCCACCGATAAAGAGTGTATCGCCTAGAGTAAAAAATATCGAGCAAATACAGTGAATTTAAGAAAGTATTAGGGGCATATTCGGTTACTGTTGTATACAAATGATTCGTCGATATATATATATACCAGTAAACACGGCCGTTTCCTCATTATCTGTCAAGTAAAAACTGAAACTTCCAGTAGTATGACCGGGAGTGTATATGGCCTTTATGGATATATCTCCAACCTTGAACACCTCTCCATCTTCAACCTTATGGTTCATTCCCGGGATTCGATCATCACCGCCATAAACTTTTAGTTCCGGGTATTTCCTTATAAAATCTTCGTTTCCAATTGAGTGATCCTGGATTATAAATAAGTGAAATTTTGAGGAACAAGTCCAACTTAATATGGGGCATACTCCATTCTCATTTCATAGGCATCTAAACACATATCGACATCGCCGTTAGATGTAAAAGACTTATTGAATTTGAAATATTCACCATATGGTGATGAGTAGTAATCAAGTGTTTGAGCTTTACGCCATGTTCATCAACAACAGATTGAACCTTCCTTGGTTCAGCTGGGTCAACGACAGCAGCTGGTTTGTAAGCAGATGGTGTGTTGTATCAAATACAGTCAATTCAACAAGTAGGTGATCATTGATACAGAATTATGTGTTACCTTCTTTAGTGTTCGAGTCAACAACAAGGTACGCGTAATTATCTTTTAGCACTATAAACCCAATGGAACGTTTACTGCTAAGTTTCCACTATATAAATTGGCATATATCGTCGATTCATACCTGGAATAGGAACAATTGTCATGGCCGCTAAAGTTGTCTTGAGTAAATTAATTATCCAATAAATTATGCAGATCAGTAAGACTGCTACAATGCAAAATATTGAAATCAGCATATAATTTACACACATGATGAAAGAACCGTGTTCGAAGGGCGGAAAGTGTGCGTAGGCGAGTCACCATTAAGAGGGAAGATCAGAAAAATCAAAAAGGTTACTGTTAGTTCATGGTGCCTAAATCATGATTGGTCGGCAGGAAATACAAATCAAAGTCTAGGGCAAGAGCAAATGTCTAAACTCACTAGCTCAATGAGTGCGGAGAGTGAAAAGAGATATATGCAACATGCGCTGGCGCTTGTACGGACTTGTTTTCATATTTGTGCATTTTCCATGTCGATATCATTATGAGCTAACCATACTTTGCTACTCCATATTTGCAGGCTGAGGAGGCGTATGAAAATCAAGAAGTGCCAGTTGGTTGTGTTTTTGTTTGTGGAGAAGAGATTATTGGAAGTGGACGTAATAGAACGAACGAAACGTTCAATGTAATTGATTCCCGGTTAAATAATATTTTGAAAAATCGGGCCTTGTGCTTATGATTATTTTTTATAGGGCACTAGGCATGCTGAACTAGAAGCTATCGACGCCATTTTGTCAAACGATAAATATACTAAAGATGTGTTTAGAGAATGTGTGTTGTATGTTACTGTTGAACCATGCGTAATGTGTGCATATGCCTTACGGCAATTGGGTGAGTGTCATAAATAGATGGAGATTTGATGTGTCACGTGCACGTGGTAATATCAAATATACATACTACGGCAGGTATTAAACACGTATACTATGGTTGTGCTAATGAGAGATTTGGCGGAAATGGGTCAGTATTCAATATTCACCAAGAGTAAGTATAATCAGTACGGTGACTTATCTAAATCAAGTAAAACGATTGCCATGTCATGTTCTTTATTGACGCCATTCTTTATTATACAGTCCACAGTTGACACTGCATCCACCCTATCTGTCACAACAGGGATACTATAGAGAGGAAGCTATTCTCATGTTGAGGAAATTTTATCTCAGGGAGAATACTTGTGGTCAGTATCATAAAACTTGGCATTTATATTATACATGCTGTTGACATGCTTTTTTAATACCTTGTCTCAGCCCCAAGACCAAAGAAGAAGCAACAGAGAGTATTAAAAACAATTATAAAACCAACAAATGAAGATTAGCTTAGTAACATATGATTCAAGCAACTAGAGAATGTCACTGAAACTTAAAGTTGATTGTACCCAAGAAAATTTTATTTATACCCCCAATGATATATATCTTTCCTTTTCTCGCTTTTGCTTTTAATAAAGAAATATAGACAGTTGATTTATTTTGTTTGCCCATATTTTTTTTATAGGAAACTGTTAAATTTACTGATAATAAAACCCAATAAATTCAGCTCAACTAGAAGCAGTTAAAAACTGCGCTTCATATGCTTTTAAAATGCATAATGCCAACATTCTCTAGGAATATCTAGACAAAGGAAAGTTTACTTATGAAATTTACAAAAATGAAAATCAATAATAATAAGCGAGTGTTACCAAATTTGTGACAACCAACATAAGAGAAAGTAAGTCTAACAACTACTGGTTGAAGGGACAAATAATTGTCTTTTTCAATGCTTCAATGATATAAAAAGGAATTAGTCCGTAATATCAATAAAGCATTGAGATCATTAGATTATTAAATGAGACGCGAAAAATAGCTGACAGCAATAATGCCAATCGTAATCGACCCGGCAACTTGACACAACCAGAATAATCTAACGCCTAGCAACACGGTCGAAATATAGTGTAAGTATACAATTATAATAAGTATAGAATAGTATAATTAGAGTAGGGTAAACCCCCCCCTCACCTCATTATTATTTTGAGGTGGGTTTTGCGTTCGCGCACGTGGCGAGGTTACATATTCGGCCATCATTCAGGACGATAATATCATCATTCATGGAATCGATTTACAAGAGGTCCACTTTAGTATGTTTAATAAAGAACACACAAAATCATAGTTATGCATGTAAGGCGATATATTGTATTTTACACGTACGTGCGGTAATAAAGGTCATTCATCTAACCGTCTCAGTAAACGAAATAAAAGATTTATTCAGCGTTCTATTCAAACATTACTAGTGAATAATATAACTTCACCGTATAGTAAATTTCGCCTTCATCACTTGATCCATGACCTTAGCCCGATTTGTCAATGATACGAGCATCTTTTCCCAAATCAATATTTTACACTAACCTTTCCTGGCAAGTTTTTCTGGAAATTCTGTACGATCATTTTTACGTTGTTATGCATAATCGTATCGTGTGTGTATTTATAAGCAAGGAACAAATGTGTCGCAGATTTTAGACAAAACCATAATTTTCTTGAAATACGATGCGAATAGAGTAGAATAATGATACTTGTATATGATAGTCGAAAAGAAACGAATAACATTTATGAATGAACAACCCCGTCATGCGATTTTCATGTTAAAAGTCATCGATTTTATTCCAAATAAAAAGTAAAAATGTGCTTGTAAAATCGCTTGTCCAATTTGTTGATTATTTCTCTTTATCGTTATCGCTAAATGTCTTCAGTAATTTTCAGTAATAGCTTGTACTATACTATTGTTAAAGTTTATTTTTATTTTCCCATAGCAGTAATCGGCAATTTCCTACAATCGATGTTTTTGTCATAAATTGCGTCACAATTACATTGTTGTCTGTATACATTTTTATTTTTAGACGATCTGGAATGCTGTCGAAATTCCTTGCTTAAACAGAAACGCCTTTTCTGTGAACCGTGTTGAGTAACTTTCACGGTGAAAATAGCCATGTCATGAATTTGTGCAGTTGACTTTGTTTTCAATGGCTCGTGAGCAAGTACAAGAGTGTATGGCATCTGAACAGGTTTGCCTATGATGGCATGTGTGATGTACATACAAAGAATTTTGTTACAAGTGTTACCCAATCTAAACATTGAATACACACAGTTATTAGCCCGTCACTGAGATTAGTCACTGTCCCAGCAATTTCTAGTATGTCATCTGAAGCTAAACGCAGTCGTTGCAAGTTAATCAAAAAAATTTTTTTGGAACGTAAACTTTGATGTAAACACGAACTGGCTCCTTGGTGAAGTTAAGGAATACGCCCATTCGCTTCGCTTTAAGTAACATTGTTGCTGTTTTATTTTCTATTTCATTGCTATTTTTGTATTTGGTTTTATATTCACTTTGGGTAGGATTTAAATGGTTGTTTTGAAGCGATTGCGTTGGCATACATATATACGGGAAGATAGTAAACGGCTATATAACGTAGTCCTGTGTGGTGCATTTGCGGTTATAAACAATTATCCAATGGATGGACTAAGCAACAATAAGCAACTCGAAGACTTTATTAAGAAATCTTAATTACAAACAAACTCAGCAAACAATGCCTATTTGGAATGGATTCCATACGATTGTATTGATGTTGAGGCACATGGCGTATACTTGTATGGTCTACCTATCGATAATTATAAACATGTTAAATTGATTCCACTTGAGATAACCGATGAAGCACATGATTTATGTTATGACAAGATAACCTATTCAACTGTTTGTTGAATTGTTTAGATGGTTATTTATATTAACATAAATAACGTTTGCCTGGCATGTACATATCATTTAGAACCTAATATAAATGCATTCTGTTATCGGTGTAAAGCACGACTGGACTACAGGCAAGGCAATGAGTCTTTGGATTCATTCATAATGGAGTCGTGGAAGAACATTATGATGCCTATATACAATGGATACTCTCTATTGTCAAACGCACAAGAGGTGACATCACGTCATGCAATAGCAGATTGGTTAGAACTGACGAGAATGAATCGACAAAGTATACTCAAAAAGATAGTCGATGCTCAGTCGTTTGATTTTTATCAGGTAACTAGTTTCTACAAGGTTGGAATTATTTTCGGTTGTAATCTTATGCGTCAATGACTCAAAACTCGAATGTCCGTCATGCGAACAGATGACTTTCACAGTTTTCGCTCGAACATGTCGTGTCGAATTATGCTTAATGCGACTTTCCCGCCATATGAAGCAAAAAGCCTTCTGCAACTCATCACACCCAGGTGCAATAATGCTAGGCAATATAAAGCAAACTTGGTCGAAACTTGGTCAAAACGATGACGCGTTTAAGTCCAGTTATGTAATTAACGGACACGATTCGCATAACACCGTCAATTAAATTTGAAAAAAGTTCATAAGTGCTTTTTTCAAGGAACTGGCCAAGACCAATCTTTTTTTTTGCACCTTTAACGTTCAATCGTAGGTGCAACTAATAAAGGAAACCTCCAAGACCAATCTTTATTTGCAAGTATCAAGAAAGTGAGAAAACCCAATAATATGATATATGCATAATAAACAATCCATGGGGGAAGTAGGTAATATATTACCTTCAGAAATAACATCAGCAACTGCCAAAATCGCTTATTATTATATTATCATGTCGGGAATTCCAAGGATTTCAGACATGACGTAGATCAAGAATGCAAAAGCCGTCGCTTGAAAATAAAACGAGTGTGATTTGGTCATCGTAACTGGCGAGAATTGTTTGGAATGCTTTCCCTCTCGCGATAGTATAGTGATGGAGAATGACTGACCTATATTTCCTAGTCCGGCGTCCATTACAAGCATCAAAGTCTATTCGCGTACCTGATAATAAGATACATACGTTCGAAAGTGAAGTAAAAAAGAATACTCAAGCCGATGGAATTGCGACGAGAAGGAGAGAGCAAATTAAGATAAAGAAGTCAAATCTTCGTAGGTGTTATCCGCACAAGTGCTACCTTCGACATGTGTTCGCCGCATCTTTTTATTTGATCAGAACTTAAACACATCCTTTCCATTATCGTAAATAGGTATGTTACGTGCAAGACAGCGTGGTCCGCCGCAAGACTATGTGCTCTCTACGGATGTGTCTAATGTCATATCACAATTCTGGTTTAGAACATGTGGTTTTTGTGTCACAATTACTTCAAACACGTGTGCTCTCCGAGATGGAAGTCTACTTCAGAGAACGATGTCGTCAATTTTAGAAGCTCAAGCAGCAATTGACAACTTGATTCAATCTTCTATGTTAGATGGTCATAACCAGAGACTTAAATGGATTCCTTGTTCGGCAATCACCATCATAAAGCTAAGTCAAATTGACTCTGTTCATCATGCTATTTACAAACACACACTGGATGGTACAGTCTATGAAACGATGACGACATTGCTATTACTTGGAAATGATGCAAAATGTACGGCAACATTTGTAAGTGAGTTTGCTAGAATATACTCACTTTCAACACACAATTACGATAATAATGTCAGTCAATTTAGACGATACATAAGCTGGCTTAACAGACGCAATAGCAAGATATATGGATTTACCAAGTATGATGATGATAATTATTACATGGTTGCTAAGAGAAGCTTTTACCATTGTTATTCTCTCTATGGATTCTGTTCTGATTGTGGCATACTAAGATGTAGTCCTGTGTGGTGTATTTGCGGGCATAAAGAACTATCCGATGGATGGACAAGCAACAATAAGCAACTCGATGAATTTATTAAGAAATCTCAAATGCAAACTGACACGGCAAATGAACCTTATTTTGAATGGATTCCATTTGATTGTGTTTGGTTTAAAAAAAATGGCGTATACTTACGTGATTTACCTACTTTTAATAATGTAACTGTTAAATCGATCCCACTTGAGATAACGGATGAGACAGATGATTCGTATTATAACCAGCAGGTAAAGTATTCAAATTATGCAACATGTTGTTGACATGTTTGGGTAATTATTGACTTGATATTGTGTATCATTTTTCACTAGTTATGTGGTGAGCATCCAGATATTCTTATCAATAATGTTTGGATAACCATTGGATTTACATATGATGCAGGCGAACAGAAGTATTATCTAATGAAAGAACGATATGGGGGTGGACTATGTCTGGCATGTGCATGTGTATTAACACCTAGTAGATATGCATTCTGTTATCGTTGTAAAAAACCAAGACCTGTCGATTGGACTACTGGTAATAAGTGCTTGGATTCATTTATAAGGAAGTCATGGAAAAATATGAAGAGGGAACACGATGCCTATATACAATGGATTGAATACTCTCTGTTGACAAACGTACAGGCGATGACTTT